TAGCGGCAACCCTTTAATATTGTGTTTTAGTTAGCATTTATTTTATGCTTTTAATTTCCTGCAATTAATTAGTCTCCTTAGTTTTAATCAATCAATTTGTCAAGTTCCCTTTCGTTAACTCAATATACACTTAGGTTTGAGTCTTGCTCTCTGTGGATTCGACCCTGCTTACCGCTAACTATGGTATTTAGTTGTATATTTTGTGGTCTAACGACCGTTCGACAATTGCCTAATTTGTACAAAATTAGTCTCCATTTTACACTGATTACTTGCCACTGATTTGCTTGACTAAATTATAAAGTTAGCATCTTTGTATTCTGTCTATTTTTTCTCTCTTAATCAAAGATTTGGGATTCTTTCTCGTTTCAATTCTCTCAAATTGATTTTCTCAATTCTTAAGGTTCACATGGTATCGATCCTAAGACAAACGTCAATGGCAAAGATCTCCGATTCTAATCAGTCAGAACTAGTTTTAAAAATGATCCACAAACGTCGAGCTCTTTTAGCTCCATCAAGTCTTCAAGTTGTAACCCAAATAACCAGAGTAACTACAGAGACAATTATCTCTTGGAAATCTCAAGTTCTTTCAACTGTGGAGCTCATAAAGGGTAGCATTAGTACAATTTAGTGAATGAGGTGAATTAAGTCAAAAGAAAAGTTTCCTGCCTATTCCTTGGAAAAGGACAGATAAATTTTTAGTAACCTGACTGTTACTTCGATCTCTGAGTGCATGTTTGGATATGTGTCAAATGTCAATGGTCTACATCCATTTGTTTACCTCTTGAAAATGAATTCCTAAATGATTCTAAGTCCAAAGCTCTTCACTTAAAAACTCTATTTCAAGCTACTCAGAAAGGGAACCTTAGTATAGTGATTATATCGAAAAATGAAGGAATACTGAGAGTTTATCAACTGTGGTCAAATGATCTCTGATAGATTGTTGCAATTCATTTTATTTGTGATTGTTAACCTTACTTCACAATTGAGTCCAGTTTGACTTAGTTACCTTACAAGAAGCACTAGTACGCTTCAAGTATGAAATGATTGAAAGTTTAATTCTGCTGATTTTTAAAGCCCTATTAATATGGCTGCATTAGCACCCCAAGATCTCATTCTCTTTACACCAATCCTTTACCTACATCAGTATCATCACACCATCCATACTATGTCACCTATTAGATCCTTTAACCTGCCAACAATTTTACCTCATTTCTACCTGTCCATAATCCTCCAGTCATCGTTCCATCAAATTATCCTCCCTATTATGGATTTCCTACTCATAGTGTACCTGCATTGAGTGATCAATTTCATGCCTCAGCTCATATAGGACAATATGGAGTTCCTTTTCAAAGTTATAGACCATCTGGGTGTTCCTCCTTTTGTTGAGGGAGAAAAAACTTTGCAACATATACTGTTATAATTACTAAACCTCAACAAATCCACCTTCACCCAACTTGTTATCAGTTGAGAAATTGCTGTGACTCCTTTATTGCCCCAAATCAATTGCAAGGCTTTTGTAGTCATTCCCTGATGCACAGAGTGTAAACTATAAGTAAACTATACATTCCACGAATTTAATTAAAAAAATTGGTGTATAAACTTGAAAAGAGTGCAAAAGTGGGACATGAAAGATTATAATATTGTAACTATTAAAGTATTTTACCAAAATCAGCTTCCTGTATACACTATTCTTCTTTATTGCTCTCCTACTTATGACAATATATCGCAATGGAAAGCACCACAGCGACAGCAATTGAAGCAATGATGGCATGATTATTGAAGTTGAATTCGGCTTCTTCTCTGCAAGAAACAGGAAAATGTTTCATTAGTATGCAAAAATTAATGAGTATTTTGGTAAAATTTTAATTTCTATTCAAAGTGCGTTCTAGTTTACCTTCAGGTCTTGTCACAGAAGCAAGAAGCGGAGAGAGTGAGGCACTGCCGGAGCCAAAGTTCCGTTTTCATTATAAAACGGTGCAGTTCATACCGGCAATTCAACTCGGATACAGCATTCTTCCTCCTTGCTGCGTCGTCCGCAACTGTGAATGGATTGTTGAAGACATCTCTTACAGTCAAAACTTGAAAGGTTCCTGTGTGCCACTGTGCAAGACAGTACAGTGATTGGAGGTGTGAAATTTCCCCTTTTCGTCATGAACTTTCCGAGAATTTGCAGCCTGAGTTACCGTCTCGTTCATCATTCTCTTCACTAGCTCGCTAAACCGACTGCTTCTGAAACGCTGTCTCATTAGCCATCATACCTCCCCCGTCATCATCCACTGGAGAGAAGAAAGGCTCATTTGAATAACGTAAAGGCACTCGTCGTAGCCTATTATTGCTCCTTTCTGAACAGGGCAACGTCTAGTACATCCGAGTGGCAAAATTGACGCAATCTTGGCAGGTTGTGGAATTGAGATCACCCCGGCAAAGAAAGGGCCGTAACCTTGTTGGGGTCGTCCCTGCGGTGGCGTTGAAGAAACCGTTATGAGTGACTATTGCATGGGAGAAGCGAATTGAACAAAAGATTTCGGTTGGTTTGTAGTGTTTTTCCCGTGGGAAGTAGAAGTGTTTGGGCAAATGTGATAAAGGTAAGATGGATCGGTTGCATTTATCAAATTGATCGAGAACACAAAGATAGAAAACTTGAAAAAAAAAAAAAAAAGAATTTACAGGAAGGCATGTTTATTCTTTTGTAGCGGAGAACTCTGGAATTTTTCTGAATCATTATCGAAGCTAGTATATAGTTATAACGTATTTTATGAGTATGATAAACATAAGAAAGATGACTAATAGGAAAGACTCATATGTTGTAGAAGTCAATTTAGAGGTGGAAAGTGGCCCGACCCGCATGGTTGCAGCCAAAACTAACCTACCCGCCAACAAGTGTGGCCGGTTGTCCAGCCACTTTTTCAAACGGGTGGGTGGGCCCATTAACACAAACCTGACGGGTTTTTGTGTAGGTGAGCCAGGCCGGGCCAGGCCACCAAAAAATTATTTTTTATTTTTTAATGTTTTTGTCTTTTCTGTAATTTCTTATAGTTTACTTTTAATATTAATTCAATTCAATTAATTTTGTAGTTAACTTTTCAATATTAATTTATTTAATTTTATACAATTAAATTGTAATATAAGAAAAAATTAGATTTATTCATTTATCAAAAAAGAAAATAAAAATAAGAAATTACAACAATTATTGTCTTATTAAAAACTTACCATTTTGGTGTACAACCTGGTCCAAATGATCCAACCTCTGTTCATCGTTTGGATACGTTATCGAACTTCTCCAAGTAACCAATCAAAGCAAGCTCTGGTTGGGAAGTCGACAGAATGCCCTACTCCGCAACAGTTTGGGAAGATTTACTACTTCAGGTGTATATATCTCCTGATTGCTGGGAATTTCCCGGTTAATTGTGTCAGAGCGCTTGACTTCAAAACCATGAGCTATGAGTTTTGTGATTAGCCTTTGAAGGTGAAACTGACTGATCATTGAAATACCGATAGAGAGCTAATGTGAATTTGAGCCCTCCTTCTAGCGTTAAACTATTGATGCGTGATTTTGACACCAACGACCTCGCATATGTAAATGATAACAAGCTTAAAAGTTACACGTGATTAATTACAAAATTGATTAGAGGATGCTATTATCACAATAACATGCAAAGACTCAAAGTAAATAGGACGATGAGAAATTTTATATTTTTCTCGGGGGGGGGGGGGGAATATCCATATGTTTATCTATAATTTAAATCCATAATTTTTCATCACTGTGTCAAATAGTCTCGCCATTATCATAATTAGTTGGTGAGATTGTCCTTTTCTAAAATAAGAGTAAAAAACTTTTTCCCACCAAAGGTTGTCTTAATGGCACTTTCTCACCCAAAAAGTTTTAAAATACTATTTTCTCATCCAAAATTTATACTCTGTTAATACCTAAAATACATTTCACTCTCTCAATTGGCGTTCTATGAGTTATCATGAACCAAGGTAAGAGGGGTTTTGTAGAGTGGAGGCCCGTGGATCGAATGGTGGTGATCGATTGAATATTCACAATCAGAATCATCTAAGAAAAAGAAACCATAGCTTTGCGATGGTCGACAATCGGTGAGAAATCAAATACTAAAGTGAGAGAAGTATTGTATATAAGAGACCGAAGGTTCAAATGGTCATGATGGAGAGAATTTTTGTGGCCTGAATCGGCTTTGGGTTATAACGAATTTTTAACTTTGGATGAGAGAGTAGTATTTTGAAACTTTTTGGGTGAAAAGTGCCATTAAGGCAAACCTTGGGTGACGAAAAGTCGTTTACTCAATAAAATAATGTTATATATTCTTGTACATGTGCTAAATTTTTTGTTTCATTTGACCGCCAATTACATTTTATCATTCCTCAACCCCACCTATTATTTTAAATCACTCTTTTACCATCGCATATATATTATAACCTCAAAAAAGCGAGACAAATTTTACCATCTCCTAAATATATTTCTCACCTATCAGAGCTCTTCCTCCAACTTTTGTAGTTTGCAATTCTGCAATAGAGTGGTGAAGACATCGATTACAATCAAAACTGGAAAGGTCCTGCGTGCGCTGGACTAGAGAGTACAGTGATTAGGAGGCTGTGAAATTTCCCCTTTTATGCCATGAACTTTTCGGGAGAATTTGCAGCCTGCGTTGCACTTTCGTTCATCGTACTCTTCGCCGGCTTGTCAAACCGGACTGCTTCTGTAGCGTTCCTTGTATTAAACATCGAAACGTTCTAATCATCGTTCACGGTAGAAAAGAAAGGCTGAGGTGAACAGAAGATTGCTGCCGCTATTGGAGAGGAAAAGTTTGACGTTGGAATGATAGGTGCTGGTCGAGGTGGGCAAAACACAACAACGTTCAAACTGATAAGAAATCATAGAAGATAGACAAACGGAAAGAATTCAAGGAAAGGCATTTTGATTCTTTTGTAACAGGGAACTATGGAAATCCTCTGCACTTTTATCATATATCTTAGATCTTTTCTTTTTTATTGTTTGTTATCGTACATGCAAGTTAACCATATTATACAAAATCTTGATTCTTGAAGCACAAGCTCAGCAGTCATCCCCCATTATCGAGGATATAATTCAGTAATGGATTCTTCATACACAGAGCAGGGCTTGTTTGGTGGCATGGTCACCTCTCTTCTAGTGCCGAGGTAAAACGCCGGCTGCTGAGGTGATGGAAGAGTAACAGAGTAACTATTAAGCATGAGATCGATTGTTGCCATTGTTGGTCTCTCAGTTGGATCTTCCTGGACACATAACAACCCCACATGGACGCATCTGATCACTTCGTCTCTTGAATAAGAATTTGACAGAGTTGAATCCAACAATTGCAAGGGTGTTCCATCTCTCCAGTGTTTCCAAGCCTGCAATAATGAATCAAGTATGTAAAGATACTGACTCTCAACAAAGGGAAAAAGTAAATAGAATATCTTTCTTTTTGCTTACGTAGCTCATGAGATTCTCAGCACCATCTGTTTGATAGAATTTGTTGCTCTTCTTGCCAGTAATGATCTCTAAAACTAGAACTCCGAAGCTATACACATCGGATTTCACTGAACACTGCCCATGTATAGCATATTCTGGTGAAATGTAACCACTGTAAAGTAGACACAATGCAACTTTGTATTCTCAAATTTTAATTAGAAATGTGTAAATACTTATCAACAGTCAGGATGCCGTATAAATCCAGAATATGCAGAGCAAGTTGTGGGAGTGAAAACTTACTATGTCCCAACCACTTTGTTTGTATGTACTTGGGATGAATCAACTCCAACTATTTTTGCCAAGCCGAAATCGGAAATTTTGGAGTTCATATTCTCGTCTAGCAATACATTGCTAGCTTTGAGATCACGATGAATAATTTTAAGCTGAGAATCCTCATGAAGATAATATAGCCCTCGAGCAATGCCTCCAATTATCTTGTAGCGTCTAGACCAATCCAATTGTCCTCGCTTTTCAGGATCTGCATGTATCCAAATAAAGTTTGCAAATTGATTTCTAAGGACCAGATTCAAAATGCGTACTTAATGATCAACTCCATGGGCACGCATCTATGGAGGACAAATAAAATAAAATAAAATAAAAATTCACCAAGTCTAATGTGATATGTGAATAAAGAATATTGAACTCAAGAGTCATTGGATTCATAGAGACAGTTCAGACCATATAAAAAATAGTCAAGACTTTTGTTGGCAACAAATTCATATATAAGAATCTTTTCTTCTCCCTCCAAGCAAAATCCCAACAGCCTAACCAAATTTCTGTGTTGGAGCTTGGCTACCAATACGATTTCATTCTTGAATTCTGCAGAACCCTGGCAGGATCTTCTCGAAAGCCTCTTTACAGCTATTGCTTGTCCATTAGGAAGTATGCCCTGAGAATGTTCATTAATCAATCACTAGATCATAGCATTCCTGAAACTTTTCGGATGAATGCAACATAATATTGTTATACCTTATAAACCTCACCAAATCCACCTTCGCCCAACTTATTATCAGTTGAGAAATTGTTTGTGGCTACTTTAATTGCCCCAAAATCAAATTGCAAGGCCTTTGTAATGTCATTCCCTGATGCACAGAGTGTAAACTATAAGTAATACTATACATTCCACGAATTTAATTAAAAAAAATTGCTGTACAAACTTGAAGATTGCAAAAATGGGACATGAAAGATTAATATATTGTAACTATTTAAAGTAATTTTACCAAAATCATCTTCCTGTATATCACTATTCTTCTTTATTGCTCTCCTACTTATGACAATATATCGCATGGAAAGCACCACAGGACAGCAATTGAAGCAATGATGGCAATGATTATTGAAGTTGAGATTCGGCTTCTTCCTGCAAGAAACAGAAAATGTTTCATTGGATATCGAGAAATTCATGGTATTTTGGTAACATTTTAATTTCTAATTCAAAGTGCGTCCTAGTTACCTCCAGGTTTTGTCACAGAAGCAGAAGCGGAGGAGATTGAGGCACTGCGGAGCCCAGTTCGTTTTCATTATAAACGGGTAAAGTTCATACCGGCATTAACAACTCGGAAACAGCATTCTTCCTCCTGCTGCGTCGTCCGCAACTGTGAAATGATTTTTGAAGACATTCTTACAGTCAAACTTGAAAGGTCCTGTGTGCACTGTGCAAACGTACAGTGATTGGGAGGATGTGATTTCCCCTCTTCGTCATGAACCTTTTCGGAGAATTCGCTGCCTGAGTTACCGTCTCGTTCATCATTCTCTCCACTAGCTCGCTAAACCGGGCTGCTTCTGGAACACTGTCTACATTAGTCATCATAACTCCCTCGTCATCATCACTGTAGAGAAGAAAGGCTTATTGAGTAACGTAAAAGCCACCCCTCGTAGCATATTACAACTTCTTTCTGAACAGGGCACGTTTAGTTGCATCCGAAATGGCAAAATTGAGGCAATCTTGGCAGTTGTGGAATTCAGATCACCCGGCAAAGAAAGAGGCCGTAGACCTTGTTGGGGTGGTCGCCTGCGGTGTCGTTAAGAAACCGTTATCGTTGACATGGAGGAAAGCGAAGTGAACAAAAGATTCGGTTGACAAGGGAAGAAAACGAAGTGAACAAAAGATTCCGGTTGTTTTGATAAGTGTTGTTCCTGGTGAGTAGAAGTGTTTGGGCAAATGTTAAAGGTAAAATGGATCGGTTGCATTTATCAAATTGACAGAGAGCACAGAATAGACAAACTGAAAAAAAAAGAGATTTTTAAGGAAGGCATTTCATTCTTTTGTAGCGAGAACTCTGGAATTTTTCTAGAAATCAATTATCATGGAGCTCGTATATATTTATGATGTATTTTATGAGATTTATGATGAGACATAACCGGAGAAGATGACTATAGGAAAGACTCTTGTTAGAAGTCAACAAACTTGATCAGCCAGAGGAAATGGCAGAAAAAAAAAAAAAAACACTTGGCTGAAATCGATTTTTTGTTCATGTTACCGCAAGTTGAATATAGTTTTTTTTTTTTTTTTTTTTTAATATGGATGTATCAACCAACTTATACACACCTAATTAATCTTTAGAATTTATTAAATATCCTACAAACTCAAAGACTAAATACGTAGAAATACTATTATGATAAATGACTTAAAGGTTTGAACTTAAAAACTAAAAAAAAACGGTTTATTATAATAAATAACTGATTTATTGTAATAAATAACTTCAAGGTATGAAGCTAAAAACTCAAAAAAAAAGAATAAATCTCCTTGACTAATTCTTGGTTCCACATAGAACTTTAATGATTTTTTTTTGTTTTTTTTCTTCTCTGAACACAAGAAAAAACAGAAGAAGAAGAAATATCCTGTTAATCTACCAGTTACTTCTTGCTCTAAGGTATTGTTTTGTTGGGCAGCGTGTATGAAGGAGGATAATTATTCAGCTGGACTGACAAAGGAAGACAGAAGATTGATTTTGATTGTGTACACACTGTAGAAAAAAAAAACAATTAATGAGGACAGTATGGCATCAGGGTGGGAACTCTTTCTGTTGATTTCGTCAACCTATTTTATGTGACCAGTCGCAGAATAATTAACATTAAAGTTATCATCCCAAGTTGAGTTCGGGAATTTTTTTTACCCAAATAATAGTTTAATAATACTTTTTTACTCATAAAATTTTAAAATATCATTTTACTATTTAAATTTATATTCTCATAACAAATAAAGAGCAAATTCAATTCAAACTGTTATAACTTTTGAAGAGGAGAGCCAGACAAGTCTTTCAATAATAGAATGTTAGATTTTAGTGGTTAGGATTTATTGAAATTTGATTTGGAATAGACGGCTATGCAAACCCTAATCACTCAATTTCCGACGATTCATGGAGTTGGCAGGAGTAGGATTTGAGAGGTTTTGGTAGTGATGATTGAAAAAGAAAATAGTGGTAGTGTGAGGTTGCAACGATACCGGTTTCAAAAACAGAATTTAAATCTGGATAGTAAATTGGTATTTTAAAAGTCTGTAAGCAGAAAAATGTCATTAAGCCATTATTTGAGTGGGAAGAAGTCGTTTACTCTTCTAAGTTGTAGTAAATTATGATAATAAAGTAAAACATCTTTACAACGATACTTCATATATGAATAATCTATATATAGTCATAAAAAAATTTAATCCCAACTTAGGATGGTTATAAATAAGAATAAGTTTCATATTGTAATAAGTTATATTTTTTTCTAATTTTTATCTTAAAAAGGTTGCCTTTACATAGAATAATTATCTATATATTGCAAAACACACACACATACTATATATATATTATGTTACATTAAAGGTTTAAAATAAAATAAAATATTTATGTGAAGTTGTTTGGGACAATGATTTATGCTTTAAAGTTGTTACCACATTTTTTAACTTAGGGGTACGTAATAACTCACTAACATGGACACATTCTTGTTGAAACCAAAATATTTCTATATTTTCAAGCATGTTTAAAGTTTTTTTACATGAAACCTTTTGTATTTTGGTATTATCATCTTCAAGATTACTTCTTTTTTCTTTTTGTCTAATTGTAGTAATAACTACTAAAACAATAAATTGATATCCTAATACATACTACTAAAACGTGAATTATAACATAAGAAATAAAACAGTAATTTTTTTAACTATAAGCTATAGACATTGATAAAAGAGATAGATATAGTATCAAAAAACTAGTACATGTATCCATGAGCAAAAATATACTACACTAATTGAATGAATTTTATGTATTCCTTAATGATCCAAATGAGCAACAAGTCATATATGTTTTAATTAAAGAAGAATCTATTGCTCTAATTAGACAATAAGACGAAGGAAATAACCCTAAAGATGAAAATACAAAATACAAAAAGTTTCATGTCAAGAAACTCTAAACATGTTTGACTTTAACAAAAGAGTGTTCATACTAGCAAGTTACTACGCACCCGCAAGTTCAAAGATGTGGTAATAACTGTAAAATATAAATCATTGTCCCAAACAACTTTAGAGATTGTCAAACCAATTCTTATATAAGCGAGATGATAATTTTAACAGAGGTAGTAGTTAAAAATTTTATTTTACTTAGTTATTCTTATTGCAAGTGATATAGAGGTAAAATATACATTATATTATAATTAATTAATGGAGCCGTCAAATCCAAGGTATAGGCATTAATAAAGAGATAAAATAGTTTTAAAAAACTAGTACATTTATTATAAACAACTATACTATACTAATCAAATGAATATTAATGTTTTCCTTAATCATCAAAATGAGTAACAAGTCGTGTAGTTTTAATTAGAAGAACAAATTGCTACAATTATACAAGAAGAGGAAGGAGATAACCTGAAGATGATAGTATAAAACCACAAAAGTTTTTAAGAAGCTTTAAACATGTTTGGCTTCAAAGAAAGTGTACATGCACGATTTATTATGTACCAACAAGTTCAAAATGTGATAACAATTGTAAAAAAAATTATTATCAAACAACTTTAGATAAAAAAATTATTTTATCTTAAATCTTAATGTAACATAGCATATATACTTTTGCAATATACATATAATTATTATATGTAAAAACAACTTTCTTAAAACAAAAATTAGAAAAATTATAACTCATTACAACGTAAAATTTATTCTTATTTATAACTATTTAAAGTTGGGACTAAATTTTCTTACTGTATAAATTTAAATCATGATGTACTATAGTTTTCTTAAATTTGTTCAAATCTTATCTGCTTACTAATTACCAGGGATAATTCAGTAATTTAACTCTGTGATAATATTTAAAGTTTAAACAAGGGAGTTTAAAGACAGGGAATACATATTTGTTTGAAGTAATTTACATAAATAAACAAGGGTAAATATGGATTAGCATCATTCTATCAGGACTGGAAGGTAAATTTTGGATTTGTAACGGACTGAAGGACCAAGGAGATGGGGCCCACGCTTGGAAAGTCCAACTCCACTACTCCAGCATTGAATTCAAGACCATGGTTGAGTTTCTACACACTAAATCATTCAATTCATTGACCGCTTTACACGTTTTTCTTAAACTTAAAATTTCCATTTTCAACAAAATACCGGAACTGCACGTGCTACCTACGACTGCCTCTGCCGGCGAGAATCTGAGCCCCACGCATCGCACATGCTCTCCAAACCCCAACCCCAGCCCACCATATTATCTATAAGCGGTGATTGGTTAAAGATTATGTGGTATTAGGGTTAAGTCATCTTATATAATATTTAATTACTAGGTTAAGCGGTGATTCCTCCATTTTCTTAGGTATTCTAAGATTACTAGGCTATCTTTTTTTGTTACAATTTTATCCCTTACAATAAAATTTTAGGCAATAATGCTCTTATTTTTGAATTTATTTACATGATATGGTTTTTTCTATTTCACCGCAATTAATTCAAAACACAAATTAACACCCAACCAGGCCACCACCCCACCCACCAACCACCACCACGGCCAGTCGTCGTCGCCACCAGAACGGCGTACAAAAGGCCGAAAATGGCCGTTTGTGCGTCGATATGTCCATACGGGTATGGAGGCCATTTCTTGCCTTCTGCGTCGTTAGGTTGGGTGCTCTGCGGCAGTGCATGACTGGTTGGTGAGGGTGCTTTGTTGATTTTTCAAACTTTTTATTACGCAGTTTTTGCTAAGTTTTTAAATGTAGGGGGATTATAATAATCAATATAAAAAAATAATATAATAATATATTTAATTAGAGAACAATTCAGTAATTTAAATAATACCCACCAATTAACCAAACATTTTCCTAA